ATACCTGTACTTTCTACTTCTCTCATGTTGAACCCAAATACCTGTACTTTCTACTTCTTACATGTTGAACTCAAATACCTGTACTTTCTACTTCTTACATGTTGAACTCAAATACTTGTACTTTCTACTTCTTACATGTTGAACTCAAATACCTGTACTTTCTACTTCTTACATGTTGAACTCAAATACTTGTACTTTCTACTTCTTACATGTTGAACTCAAATACCTGTACTTTCTACTTCTTACATGTTGAACACAAATACCTGTACTTTCTACTTCTTACATGTTGAACTCAAATACCTGTACTTTCTACTTCTTACATGTTGAACTCAAATACTTGTACTTTCTACTTCTTACATGTTGAACTCAAATACCTGAACTTTCTACTTCTTACATGTTGAACTCAAATACTTGTACTTTCTACTTCTCACATGTTGAACTCAAATACCTGTACTTTCTACTTCTCTCATTTTCCAAACAGCTGGTTCCTTTAGTCTGAATGTGTGTTTGATGCGTGATCATTATTCTTTAGAGTCATTGCGTGCCTATTGATTTGAACACGATCCGTGTATCCATCATTTCCTGGTCTTGTCTAAAGAAGAGGGACCAATGGAAACGTTGTCATGTTGCCGTTGTTCAGCATGGAAACATTCATTAGCTAACAATGACATTATTGTTCTATTAATATAAAGGGAGGTCAGGTACTCTTTAAAGCAGCTGCTAGTTATGGGGACTTTCTACTGAAGTACATTTCAAAGCCTTTACTTTCACTTGATAAAGAAGTTTAGTCAGTACTTCTACTTTCACCAGAGTGTTTTTAAACACGAGTATCTGTACTTCTACTTGAGTGAAGGAGTACTTTTCCATCTCTGCATTTGTTCCCTGAAAACAGAGAGGATGGATCCAGCTTCCAAAGCAGTACTGTGATTACAAAAGAGAGACTGCACTGCGGAGATTCCCAACGGCTGATGGGAACACTAATGATCTGTTTAACTAACAGCATGCATCATAAATCCATGTGTTGATCTCTCCTCCTCCGTCATCACACACCATCTGTCAGATCATTTAAATGTGTATCGCGGCGTGAGAAACGTAACGACTGTCTCTCAAACATTTCCTCGTTACTGCCACGTGCATTTGAATAAGGACAGATAGCTGAATGCCTGCAGTGAAACACACTCCGCTGCATCAACGTGTGAATAGGAAATGAGAATAACCTGCAACACATGTCCTGAAAAACACAAAGTACCTCGAGGCACTTCCTGTCAGAAAGAGAGAAATGAGAGTAATCTGTCTTTGGATAAAAGACCCTCACCTCCTTCCTCTTCCTCTGGCTCTACGTATTCCCCTCTCAGTGTCCCCTCTTCCTTCCCACAGTCCTGGAGGAGACGTCTCTGAACATCATGTTGCCTCCTCCTTACTCAGCATATGTTCTTAGACATGCATCTCAAAGCTTGTGACGAAGACCTGGAGACGAGTAGTTTTGAAAATGCAGAATATAGGAATGTTTTCTGACCCTCATCACATCACTGCTGCAGCAAAATGAGAACATGCCAGATCAATGTGCCTCCGTACTAAAGTATTAAACTAGGTTCCTCAAAGGAAGGACACACGAAGCTCTTGTGTGGTTGCTGTTGTTTGTTGCCTGTCTTTGTAAAGAAAAACTAACTCCACTCAAACTTCTTCTAAATAATTCATTCACACCAACGCAACTCCGGTTCAAGCTCCGTGAGCCTTTCAGGTTCAGAACCGGTTCTTCGGTTTAGCTCCGGCTCTTTTCACACCGCCCAGAGTCCGACTGGTGCTGCGTCATTGCGTCATCGTTTGCGTGCCTGCTTCATAAAGCCAACCCGTGCGGAAACCCCTCACAGCTGACAACAACAACAACAACAACAACAATGGCCGATTGTGTTCCAGCTTCCTCTGCACCTCTTCAGAAGACCAGATTCCCAGCAGCTAGCTGGTCTCTTCAGTGGACCACTGCTGCTTGTTAAGTTTCTCCATCGTTGTACAAACTGGATAAAACGCGGGCTTGTTGTTGTTGTTCAGGAGTTGATCCCGCCCCTGCCCCCGCCTCGACGTAAGCGTGACTATGTGGTGCTTTTGCTCTAGCCGGACAATTTTTTGGTGCTTGAAACGAACCGGATTCCGGAGCTAAGAGGCTGCTCCGCTGCGGTGTGAACAGGAAAACCCAGTGCTTTTCAAGCTCCAGCTCCGAACCGGCCCTGAAACACCGTTGGTGTAAATGAGGTATGAGAAACAGAGATTCAGAGCTCTGTAGAAATGCCACCGATTACAAATCAATATCTCTTTCGTCCGTCTGTCACTTTTCAGGCGTATACCCCGAATTAAGAAAATACAAAGTGCTTGTGCATATGGAAATATCTGGCAAAAATGATTCCTAGATTTAACAAATATTTGTTTTAGTTAAACATATTCTGCTAATATTGGAAAAACTCCAAGCTGATTTAAATGTCTTGTTTTTTTCACTTCAAAATCAATCAATCAAATTCTTTATTATTCTGCCGGGTTATTTCGCCCCTCTTCTCCTCCCGCATTCCACATCGCAGAAACTCCGTTCAAACATCAAAACGTTCAGCTCGGTCGGGAATCGACGGCTATTACTTTTATTATTCATAACTTTCATAATTCCAGAGATACATCCCATAATTCATCACATTTTTAACCATTGAAGTCAATGGAGAAAATCTTCCGACTTCAACAAATCTTCATGCGACTTCAACTGCTAACTGTTCATTCATACTTTCACTCAGAAACCTCATTCCAACTTTAAAACGTTAAACATCTTTCTGACATTATTCGTGTAAAACAACTTTTAAATTTGATTCGTACTTTTAGAGATATTAAACATTGTTCAGACCTTGGTAAAGAGGCCTTCTTCAGATTTTAGAGTGCGTGATGTCACAGCTAGAGTGGAAGACAGATTTAATTTTGCCTTCATATATTTTTTTTAAAACTACCATAATTCCCAAACCCTACATTCCTGAGATATCGTTTATCCTGAGAAACGTAGGAAAACATCTCGTAGCTTGAAAGATAAAAAAATATTAAGCAAAAATAATTAAACAAAAGGCCTCTTGAGAGCATGAAGTAACAAAAACCTTCAACATCACTCCATTAAACCCCATTGTAAGTTCAGCCTCACCTCACCACAGCAGCCAAAGGATAAAATCAGATTTTCATGTCATAATTTTAAGGGCAAACGTAATTGTAAGTAGATGGAAGGTCCTCCATTGATATTGAATCCAAAGAAGAAACAAGCCTGAAACTAACCTCTAATTAAGCAAATATAGCAATGAACCATCGACTAAGTCCTTTTGAGAGTTCCCGTTTCGACCTGCAGAGTTCTCAGTGATTGCATGTCGTCAGTAACGCTCGTTAGTGTCTAATTGGACGGTTCTAGAGTGATGATGATGAGTGATATGTACGATACGATACGATACGATATACTTTATTGTCCCCGTAAGGAAATTCGTTCTGGGCTCCGTCCAGCAGTTCCGCATACATGTACATAATATACAAACATAGTGGACATTTAAGAGACATACACATATCATCAATCATACACCGTTTGAACAAACACAATACACGCAGACGCACATACTGACAATGGCGACCTATTGCACAACCCTCATGGCCAACATTTAAAAAAAGTACATTTCATTACATTTGACTTCGACTACATTTCATTTCCTGTCAATGTTAAGAAGTTTAACGGACATTGGTAGGAATGAGTGCTTAGCGGTTCAGCCTGCTCTTGGGAACCCTGAATCTTCTACCAGAAGGTAGGAGCTGGAATTCTGGGTGGAGTATGTGGGTGGGATCAGACACTATTTTGTTTGCCTGTCTGATAATGGACTGCTCATATATGTTTTGGAGAGATGGGTGTTTTTTAACCCCCATAATTTTCATAGCCGTCTGTACCAGGCGAGCGATCTGTGACTTTGACTGCACTGTCAAGTTACCGTACCAGGCAGTGATACCATACCTAATGATGCTCTCCAACACTGCATGATAAAACAGTAACATGAACTTCTGGTCGACTCCGAAAGCCCGGAGTCGACGCAGAAAGTACAATCGCTGTTGAAGTCTAGAGCACAGACCTTGAACATGCGCCTTCCAGCTGAGTGTATTATCTAGATGGACACCAAGGTACTTATAGGAGCTGACCTGAGTTATGGGTTCATTGTGGATAACCACCGGGCTAAGGTCACCCACTGCCTTTGGGTCCCACACCATCTCCTCAGTCTTCTTCACATTCAGCACTAGATGGCTAGAATCACACCACTGCACAAATCTCTCTATTTCAGAGTGATAAGCCGATGAACTGCTGCCCTTGTGCATTAAGCCAAGGATAGCTGTATCATCAGAGAATTTGATGATATAATTCTCCGGGTGGATTCTTGTACAGTCGTTTGTGTACAGTGTGAAGAGGACCGGGGAGCTCACACAACCCTGGGGGGCTCCTGTACTGATGGTCCGGGGCTCTGAGAGGGCATTGTTGACCCTGACTTGCTGAGTGCGATTGGTTAAAAACGAAAAATACCATTTCAAGATGAAAGGATTTATATTGATCTTAATCAGTTTTTGAAGCAAGATGTGAGGCTGCAGTGTGTTAAAAGCCGAGCTGAAATCCACAAACAGTAGGCGTACATATGCCTTAGGATCTTCCAGGTGTTTAGTGACCAGGTGTGTGATGCTATTTAGAGCATCGTCTGTGCCACGCCCTTGCTTGTAGGCAAACTGAAAAGGGTCTAAATGTACATCAACCTCCATTTTTAGCAGCGGCACCATGATCCTCTCAAAACATTTCATGACAATGGATGTCAATGCAACAGGCCTAAAATCATTGTTTACCTTTGGACAAGGTTTTTTGGGGACAGGTTTTATTATTGATTTTTTCCAGAGGGTGGGGATGGTGTGAAGATCAACAGATTTTTGAAATATGGGACACCATGCTGGTGTCAGTGTGTGTGTACCTCAGTCTCTTGTAGTACTGCTTGACCTTCTCCAGAGACGAGGAGTTGATCTGCGCCTGATACTCCTCCACAGACACGTTGTCTCTGTAGTAATAACCCTCCATGCTCTCCAGAGCTGAAACACAACATCAATAACAATCACTGCTTTTGAATCATATATAATCCTGTCTTGGATAACTGGACTTAAACTCCCACTGTCTTTGATTTGATTTGAATGAACAATAAAACAAAGAAATATTAAGAATACTGAAATGAAACAAGAGAATTATGATGCTGTCCAACTTAAGCAGGATCAGATTGATAAACAAAAATATGACTGACTCTAAATGATATATAAACAAATGATCTAATTACACATCTGAGAAGGGGTGGGAAGAAGTTACACTTATTTAATCCCACCCCTTCCCCCAAAAACTACATTATTGACATATATATATAAATGTATGGCTACATACAATAAACATTTACAATTATAAATAGATCATTATTACTTCAATATATATATATACTGTACATTTATCATTTATATTCAATCTAATATTTAATAATCCATTCCGTGCTAAATTGATGTATATATCATATCCTGCTTTATATTGTGAGATCACATGTATATTTGAGACGTTTACATTTTGGATTATTTATTTCTAGTCTTTTAATTTCTCTAATGTTCAAAGCCTTGTCTTTTTAAGCTGCTGCAACGCAAACATTTCCTACATCAATAAAGTACTTCTTATGTAATTATCTTAAAGGTCAGCTATCAGGTCTCAGATATATAAAAATATATATAAAAACACGTCTGAAGTGTTTTGCTCCAAACACCAAACAGATCATTCTAGCCATGCCTCATATCCCTCTATTTCACTTCCTGTTTCTAAAGTGCTGATCTGGGTATAAAGCTTTAAAGAGGAGGGGTCTGAGCTCATGTCCCTCTACTCACATAAAGCTTTAAAGAGGAGGGGTCTGAGCTCATGTCCCTCTACTCACATAAAGCTTTTAAGAGGAGGGGTCTGAGCTCATGTCCCTCTACTCACATAAAGCTTTAAAGAGGAGGGGTCTGAGCTCATGTCCCTCTACTCACATAAAGCTTTAAAGAGGAGGGGTCTGAGCTCATGTCCCTCTACTCACATAAAGCTTTAAAGAGGAGGGGTCTGAGCTCATGTCCCTCTACTCACATAAAGCTTTAAAGAGGAGGGTCTGAGCTCATGTCCCTCTACTCACATAAAGCTTTAAAGAGGAGGGGTCTGAGCTCATGTCCCTCTACTCACATAAAGCTTTAAAGAGGAGGGTCTGAGCTCATGCGGGACCCGGCAGCTACCGTCTAAACTAAATGCTGCCGTGATGAAACGCCATATCATGGATTATCAAGGATTCTCTCTGAAACAGTTTGGAGCTCAAAGGCTTTCTCTCTTGCCGGTTATACCACAAGGTGAGTTCCTTTCTACTTCCTGCTTCTTCACACACATGCTCTCCAGTACAGGTTAGCTCTGAGTGTTAGCGATGCTAATGTAAACACCGACCAGATTACGTCCAAAACAGTCGGGCATTGTTTCTGATAGCAACGTTTCTGATTGGCCCGTGGGTCCACATTTCAGATATTACGTCATATCGGACGCAAATCTGGATCAGCTCCGTTGTTCCCCGTTTTTAGAGATTTGGGAGAGGAAGGAGGAAGGAAAAGAGAGAGGGTTTTATTTCCTGACGCTGCGTGAGTTCCCCGACACACCGGGGACACACAGGGGACACAGCGGGGACACAGCGGGGACACAGCGGGGGGACACAGGGGACGCACCGGGGACACAGCGGGGACGCACAGGGGACACACCGGGGACACAGCGGGGACACAGCGGGGACGCACCGGGGACGCACCGGTGACACACAGGGGACACATGTTGATGTAGAGAAGACATCACAAAGTGCATTTTGCACGATAGGAGACCTTTAACTTATCTTATTTTTTTCTTAATCGTTTAACCTTTATTAGATTTACAGCATTTGTATTACTATTATCTTTTAATTTCTGCCGATATGTTCACTTTGTTTTATGGGGGTTTATATTTTATATTGTTGCATCGACTCAGTCGTCTTGTGTCTCATCTGAGAGAGAATCATACCTTTGACCTCCTGGAGTCTCTCAACCTGATCACATGTTAGATTTTGCTGCATGGACCTTTTAAAGTTCTTAAATAATCCTTATTGTGTATTTTTATATGTGATGTTTTGTAAAGCACGTTGAGCGGCACGTGCTGTATGAGAAGTGCTGTATGAATAAAGCTTTATTGTTATCTCGTCTTTACCCTGAGTGAAGAGCACGGGGAAGATCTTCACTCCTCCTCCACTCCTCAGGCGGGGGGGAAGCTGCAGGAAGTAGAAACTCTCCAGGTGGAAACAGACTTTCAACGCCTGACGAGATCCTTCAACCTGGAAGGACATGGGCATGTCTACAGGAAGGGAGGAGGAGAGGAGGAGAGGAGGAGAGGAGAGGACAGGAGGAGAGGAGGAGAAGAGGAGAGGAGAGGAGAGGAGGAGAGGAGGGGAGAGGAGGAGAGGAGGAGAGGAGGAGGACAGAGGAGATGAGGAGAATAAAGGGGAAGATTAGACAAGAGGAGAGAGAAGAAGAGATGAGGAGACAAGGAAAGGAGAGTATGAGAGGATGTTCAAGCTCAATCTTGTCTTGTAGTGATATCCTCATTAAAAGTCAGATGTAATCTAGAAGCCTCTGATGAGGTGACGTACTGGCCACCAGCGGCTCGCCCTCAAACTGCAGGAAGTAGAAAGTGACCTTCTCCAAGTCCATCAGAGCCACCTGGCAGTCCTCCAGCATCGCCTGCTCGTCCGTCTGCACAGAAACAATAACAATAACACTTTAGGTGACATGATGCATTGTGGGAAATGTAGGCACCAGGAAGAACGCATTGAAAAGCAATAGATGATTCCCTTTGGTCCTGCAGCGCCTATTTAGAGTCCGTCGTGAGTCTGCTCGGAAACTAAATCAAGAAATGCACTACAGGAATGCCCTCCTGTTTGTTTGTTTGTTTGTTTGTTTGTTTGTTGTCCTTGTGTACAGTAGCATAAAGGGACTACAACTGAGGTTACACTTCGAAAATTTGAGCAAAAACAAGACACGTTTTCTGACTGTGTGACGAGATACTGAGTGTGTGTGTGTGTGTGTGTGTGTGTGTGTGTGTGTGTGTGTGTGTGTGTGTGTGTGTGTGTGTGTGTGTGTGTGTGTGTGTGTGTTTATACAAGTTGTATACTGTTGAGTTCACTGGTCATTCTCACACACACACACTTCTCTCTAAGGACACACTGGAAATGGCCCTACATGTGACAGAGCGACCCTGAAACCTGCCAACTGTGTGTGTGTGTGTGTGTGTGTGTGTGTGTGTGTGTGTGTGTGTGTGTGTGTGTGGGCATGTGTATCACACACACACACATTCAGTCTACACACACACAGCATCACACCTTTCATGTGCAGCCCTACAGGCTGGTCCCGCTCCACAGGGACGCATGAAAGAAGAACGACTTGAGAAATAAAGGAGAAGGGAGCACACACTAACCTGAATAATATCAAAACACACCTTTAAACCACTTCCTGTCTTATTCCCAGCGAGAGACGACAGAAATAGAGAATCCAAACACCTGTGCGCTGATAAAATCTGTTTTGATTCCTTCAAAGGAAAGTTACAGCCCTGAGGCTATTAAGACAAGACTTCAATTATTAGATGTTTTTGTAGAGAAATGTTCAAATGGATCTCAGTCAAGTTTTAGCATTCAGATTCAATTCAAGCGGAGAAGTTCAACAGCTTGACACCAAAGGGTTTAAAGGTCTCTTTACTTAAAACAATGTGAACCGCTCCTGTGAATATGCAGCACCATCATTTCCCCCAAAGCATGGGCATCTGGGGGATGAAGATAAAACCCTCCAAATGGACAGATTGTGATTTGCATTTCATCTTAATTTTAGAAATAGTTAATGGCACAGTGAGAAGGATTTGTAAACACAAGCAGGAAGTGAAACCACACACACACACACACACACACACACACACACACACACACACACACACTGTGACGAAGATGGCTTCGTCACTGTGGACTGACGGCTTCGGGCTTTGTATATTGCACATGTCTTTTATTTTGAAAAGTGTTCCCCCTCCCGTTCTTTCTGTTACTCCTGATTATGTTCACCTGGTGCCCTGTGTTGTCTCCTCCCCCCTCACCTGTGTCTAATTGCTGATTAGTGGGTGTGTATTTAGGCTCTGTGTTTCCTGTCTGGTGAAGGCTGATAGTGTGGGTGAGAGCTGGTGACTGTGTTCACCTGGGCAGCAATATTGAAGCTGTGTATCCTGAACCACAGCGATGAATAAATGCCCACACCGGGTTATATTTGAATTCCCTGCCTCCTTGCTTGGTCGGGCCGCTCAACGGTCAGTTTCACACACACACACACACACACACGACTGTTCAGGTGACATCAAATGAAAGCAGATCTGTCGTGTTTTTCAGCAGATTATGAAGTGACAGTAGAGTTGTGTTTCTCACCAGGTTAGAGAGATTATGAAGTGACAGTAGAGTTGTGTTTCTCACCAGGTTAGAGAGATTATGAAGTGACAGTAGAGTTGTGTTTCTCACCAGGTTAGAGAGATTATGAAGTGACAGTAGAGTTGTGTTTCTCACCAGGTTAGAGAGATTATGAACTGACAGTAGAGTTGTGTTTCTCACCAGGTTAGAGAGAGATTATGAAGTGACAGTAGAGTTGTGTTTCTCACCAGGTTAGAGAGATTATGAAGTGACAGTAGAGTTGTGTTTCTCACCAGGTTAGAGAGAGATTATGAAGTGACAGTAGAGTTGTGTTTCTCACCAGGTTAGAGAGATTATGAAGTGACAGTGGAGTTGTGTTCTCACCAGGTTAGAGAGATTATGAAAGTGACAGTTTTTTTTTTGAAGAGTTTGTTTCTCACCAGGTTAGAGAGAGATTATGAAAGTGACAGTAGAGTTGTGTTTCTCACCAGGTTAGAGAGATTATGAAGTGACAGTAGAGTTGTGTTTCTCACCAGGTTAGAGAGATTATGAAGTGACAGTAGAGTTGTGTTTCTCACCAGGTTAGAGAGAGATTATGAAGTGACAGTAGAGTTGTGTTTCTCACCAGGTTAGAGAGATTATGAAGTGACAGTAGAGTTGTGTTTCTCACCAGGTTAGAGAGATTATGAACTGACAGTAGAGTTGTGTTTCTCACCAGGTTAGAGAGATTATGAAGTGACAGTAGAGTTGTGTTTCTCACCAGGTTAGAGAGATTATGAAGTGACAGTAGAGTTGTGTTTCTCACCAGGTTAGAG